GGTATTGACGAATATTAATTACCCGGTTAGTGTCTATTTCAGGGCTATGCATAAAAAGATCGGTACCTTTCAAATCCTCGACACCTTCCGCAAACAAACCATGGTACTTATTAAGGACGAGAGTCACCTGATTTTCACCCTGAGATCCCGGAGTACCTGGGTTTATGGCGGTGCTAACAGGGGTACCGCTTAAACAATCATAGTACATTATTGATGGGCGGGAATCACAATTTATCACTTTAGTCTTACGTTCTATGAAAGCACAACTATCTACTAATAATGACGGAATTGAGTTAATGACGTCCATCCCCAAGATCCCTTGGTATTCTAACATATCCGGGAATTCCATACAACAAAGGAAAGCGGAAGTTGCCTCATCCTTGTAGCTTATGGAACCCTCTAGGACTTCTTTACATGTGGAAATCGTGCCATTGATCCCTCTGATATGGGTGGTCTCACCCTTTTTAGCACACTTGAGAGGCTTAGCAATTTTCGCATTTTGAGTTAACGCTACATCAACTAAGGACCTTTCTGCACCCGTGTCAATTAAGAAATTAATCTCCTCCCCTACTACTTTTCCCTTTATTAACAAGAGCCCCCTCTCCGAAGGTGAAAATTCGGTCAGTCTGAATGTGAGGGTAGGAACTTGACGCTGACCCTTATCAAGTCCCCGAACTAGTTTAAACCTTGAATGTTTCTTTTGGGGCATTTCCGAGCCAGGTGATTTGGGCTATTGCAAATGAAACAAAGTCTGCTTTTAGCGTTAGATGGCTTATCGTCCCGGGTCGGGTTTTCAGCCATTTTGGAGACTATTTCATAGAGGGCATTCAATCCCTTCTCTAATCTATCTAAACGATCCTCACCCTTCGAGGTAGTACTAGTGCTGACTTCTCGACTTGTACTTTCTGCACTTGTCTCTTCCTGAGAATTATAACAGACTGTTCTAAGCTCCTTAGGGTTGTTACATTCCCTCTCTAGCCTCTCCTCCCTTTCAGCGCATTCGAAAGCCTTCTCTAAGGTAGCAGGTTCCCTGCGGAACACGTGACCCCGAATATTTGTACCTAACCCTTTTATGAACCTTTCCATAATAATTTCATCCTTGAATTTTGCGATATCTGGGTTACTCCGGATAGCCCTAGACATTATAGTTTTAGTTCTGGTGATGTAATCACTGACCGACTCCCTTCCGCTCTGCTTCAGATTTAATAGTTGGTCAAGTAAGCCCTTTCCCTTTTCTTCATGCTTCTCGAAGCATTTAATTAGATCTTGTTTGATTTCTTCAAATGTTAGGGCAGGCGTTTGTTCCAATAAACAAAAGAAGGTGTTCAGTGGCTCACCTTTTAGTTTGGCTTGCAACGCAGCCACCTTAACTTCGTCCCCCCAATGGGCTAGCTTAGCTACATTATCGATGGTCATAAAAAATTGCTTTATGTTTACCGTATCGTTAGGTGAATTCGAGAAGGAGGGGATCATCCCTAAAAACCCAGTAACCACGAGTGGGTAATTCACAACATGGCCTCCCGCCATAGAACTCATATCTGGAGTACCTTTATCCTCCATCTTACAATTAACAGTCGATATTAATACCGTTATGCACCGAGTTAGGCTAACAAGACGGGAATCCTGTCGCGGACGCCAATGTGAAGATGTATAGCGCGGACAGGAAAACACAGACACGTTTTTCCAATGAAACAAGTTTAATTTCGCGCTAACATTAATATATTTACAAAATGAGTTCGGATTCCCGCTGTTACTTACAAACGTTCCAAAATCCCGAGCGACCGGATATACCAATATACTGGTAGTTACTTTTCCGATAACTATCTCTTGACAAAAGTAGTTGCGCGCGGAAACTTAAACTAACTTAAAACTAAAATAAACTAGGAGATAGAAAAGATAGAAAGGGGAAATAAGAAGAATTAAAGGACAGAGGGTACCCAATTTTCCTGTTGGTTCTCCACAGTTCCTCGTCTCGGCTTCGTTCTCGGCTGTTCTTCCTTTTAGAACCGTTTCGGTCCGTTTCGGAGTTGTCTTATAATCGTCGACCAGATTCTTCTCTCAATGCGCTTCTTACGGCCTCCTTCTGCAGCGCTCCCCCAACTTTTTGTTCCAGAGCCTTCTGCCACACGTCTCTCGCTCTCCGAGTCCGGCCTAAGAGTGCCTAAAAACCCTTTGTTTTCCTCTCTCCCAGCCCCGTTTTCGTCTTTTGTTCTAAGGCTACCCCCTGATGGGTTAGGGGTGAGGCGAGTTCTTGGAAATCCGAGACAAAGGAACAAAGAAATCGGAAGGAAGGAAAGTTCTAGAATTTAAATTAAACTAAAACTATACGGACTAATAATAATAATAACAATATTAATAAAAGAAAAACAGGCGTGTAGCCACATTGTAATGTTAAGAATACGTTCATTTGCCAGTGTTCTAATGAATTCCCAAAATACTTCTAGGTTAAAGTAGAGGGCAGTTTTTTCTTTTCAAGCTCTGATGGTCCATAAAAAGAAAGACAAGTGTAAATAACAAAATGAATTTATTATCAAAAGTTAGATACAAACATGGTTACTTTTCAATGTAATCACTGTGAAGATTGAGGCATTTGTCATATCTGTGGATGAGCTTTTCCATTCCCTTGTCATAGAATGTTGCCGCCAATGAATTGAAATGGCCTTAACAACGTTGTTTTGAAGATTGTCATTAGTCTCAAAACTCTGACTGCTAGCTACATTTTCAGTTCAGGAAAGAGGTGGAAGTCTTCACACATTAAAAAGTTCCAAGTTGGATGGAAGTGTGAAAGGTGGAAATCTTCACCACCTGTAAAAACTCAGCATATAGCCCCAATTTAGTGCCGAGAGACTTCCACCCAGAATATGAATTTTCCATTTCCATTAAAGGGATATGTGAACTTTTTTAAAATCCTTTCTATTCTGAGGACACTGAGAAGGCACTTTTTTAGTAACATCATTATGGTTTTGGTAGGCCCACAATGGAGTGGAATTGTGTAGTGAGGGATGGGGATTGACATATTTGGATGGATCATTTCCAAAAAATTTCTGGAGTTTTTTGATCCATCTGGATTCAATTCTTAGTCTCCCAAAGTGGTAGGCTGGCATATTAATCATTCAGTCATTTGGCCATTGAAAGGGTAAGTAGACTGAAAAATATTGGGAACTGCTGGTCTATTGACTGGAAGGTGAAAGAAAAGTAGATAAATACTTTCAATATTTTAATAGATTATCTTTCAAAATGACACTTTAAGATTTGGTAGATAGCAGAAACATTCTCAGCCAACATATTCCAGATACAATTAAGGAAGCAAGAAAAATTTCAGTCAGTTTGGTAGAAATTCAGCATGCATTTAGAGTGATGAATATTACAGCAAGTAAAAAATGGAATGCTTTCTAATTGAAAACACTTCCTACTTTATGATCTCTAATCTTGTTGGAAAACCTTTAACAAATTCAGATGCAATACCATTGGTAAGGTAGTGGTTAAAATTTTATTTATTTTGAAAAGCAAACTGGTTGTTAACAAATTAGAAAGATACCACTGTGTATGATTATGTAGACACCATCAACAAGATTTCATACAGATAACTGAAAGATTGAATTACTAAATTTAAATGGTAAGGCTTCAATGTGGCCATATTTAGATATTTTGTTGGAGTTGTGGAGGCTGATTTTGCCAACTGATACTGTGGCTGATACCAATAGTTCATATAAAGCAGTGTTTCTCAACCTCTAACAAATCGTCACCCCCTTAACTTTGAAAACAATTTTGTTGGGTTTACTAATTTAATTTTTTACAAAGTAAATGTTTATTTGATGATTATATATTTACTCAGAATACATATTAGATTTTGATATAATTAACAAAATTAAAATTAAGCATTATTTGCTGTAAATCCCCAAGGCAAGCTTCAAAATTCCGATGCCAAGGGCCAAGGCTAACGCCAAATTCGTATTGCATTGAATAGACTAGTGACTAGTATAATGTTATTTGTTTAATTATTGTATGATATAACAAATAAAATATCTAATTATTTTTAATATAATGTTTTACTATAGCGCTCAAAAAATTGTTTTTTGCCCCCCAAAATATAAATTGTTGCTAATCGACCCCCAATATGGAAACGCCCACTGATATAAAGTGTTGGTCAAGAAAGCTTGCTCTTCTTTCCTTTCATTTGCTCATCCCGCATGTTGTTTCTTTTTACTGCTGTATTTCTTTTAATTAAAACAAATTTTGTTTTGGTGGTATGATTTTGCCAACTGTTCAACAAAACTTGATGACGTTGAAGGTCATGACCTCTCCCCAACCCCCGTAGCTCTGCTTCTGAAGCTAGAGTTTTTCTCTATGCATGTACTGTACGAAATCTGATAGATCACTGGTAATGATTTTGTAAAATGTTTTATGCTTAAATTTGATTGATCTCTTTAATAACATCATTTAATATAATATAAAAAATAAAATGCAGAGTTTACCAGCATTTGCCTACCATTTTGACTCGTGTATTACTCACGTGGCCTTAGACGGGGAATGTTGTGACATGCAAAAACCTATTCAGTGAGCGACACCATTTCAATAAACATTTCATGAACATGTTCATATTCATGGAATGTTCATCAGCCTGGTATATTGTGTGTTTGTTGTTGAGACTTCAAAACTAGCAAGTCTGTTGTGTGGACAGAGCAAGTATTTAGGCAACACTTCAATATTGGAAGACATGGGAGGATACCCAATTGACACACTGCTATGAACTGGGTAAAGTTTCATACTAAGGCTTCTGCATTAGACAAGAAACTGAGAGGAAGTGGGAAATCTGTGTAGACACTGGAGAACATTTAGAATGTGCAGAGTGCTGTCAATCAAAGCCCAAAACATTCAGCAAGCACACAAATATGCATTGGCACTTAGCCTGTCAAAGAACTCAGTGTGTTGGATTTTACATACATACCTAAATTACCATGCTTACAAAATCCAAGGCTGGTCATGTTTTCCATTACTCAGATGGAAAACATGATCAGTTGAGTGTATGAACCTAGATGGACAGCAAATAAGTGGAGTTATTTTTAAGAAATAATAATTTTTTTGTGTTGTGACAACATGGCAGATATTTATCCTTCCATTATCACTATTGTCAATAAATATGATTAATAATTGAATGAATGAACAGTGTTATGTTTCAAAATGGTAGACGAATGCTGATACACCCTGTGTGCGTGTGTACAATGAAGTATTAAAAATCTGGACTAATTGGGAATGGACTACATCTAGATTTTCAAAATATATGGGAAAATTAGCATTTTAAGTTCTGTAATGCACAAGTGCTGATGACACCATGACTTGTGCAATAATTTTTTGAATATTATTGTGTAAGTTGTGATGCTTTCAATCATCAGCACCATACTTAAATATTCAAAACCTTTTTAGAATAAGTTCCAACATTTAAAAAAACCCATTGAACTGCTGTAGAAGTATAGAACAAAAAATTGAATGTCAAACAGAGAAGAGCAGATAGATCTTAATGTTCCATTCTGTTCAGATTATGATGATAGGACCAGGAAATTGTCCCAAAAAACTTTTACAGAGCCCAGTTCTTTAATGTGATGTAATGTTGTCTGACATATTTATCAATATTTTTCTGATTTCACATGAAATTGTCTCATTTACATAAGAATTTTTTGTCTCCTGCTATTAATGAAATTCTGAATGGGCAAATTTCAATGTATGAATTGCACATGAAAATTATTCTTTTTTAATTAAGATTATCTGTTTCACAAAAAATTAATTTAAAAAAACTTAATTTGTTATTAATTTTTTTTTCTACAGTATGGGTGTTTTTGGAGGACAATTTCAGCATAAATTAGCAATATGGATATTGATTATCATCCTACTCTTTACCTACCTTTGTGCAGTTTTATGGTATAATGAAAGTGTTCTACCTCATTCATCATTGTCTATAAACAGGTGGAAGGACTTTCCAAATGCTTTTAATTTGTCTTTGATTAACTCAACTGTGGATTTTTCAACTCTTGTTGATCTCTCCAATTTTAAATTTCTTATTAATAATCAACGGTGTAAAAATGTCAGAGATCTTTTTATGGTTATTTTCGTACACAGTGCACCTGGGAATTTCAGAAAAAGAGATGTCATACGAGAGACTTGGGGTTCCGAAAAGAATCTGGCTACGGACTCCTTGAGATTGGTGTTCCTGATTGGAAGTGTAGGAAATCGATCTCTCCTGAATGCCATTTCACAAGAAAATACAATCTATAGTGATATTGTACAGGGTAATTTTGTAGACAGTTATAGAAATCTCACATATAAACATGTCATGGGTCTGAAATGGATCACTTATTTTTGCCCGGCAGCCAGATACATTCTGAAGACTGATGATGATATTTTTGTAGACATCTTTCAATTGACAGATTATTTGAAAAACACATTCAGTCCAACTCCTCCCAGAAAATTTCTAATGTGTTTAATTATAAAGAATACATTTGTGCGTAGAAGCCAGAGGAGTAAGTGGCGAGTGAGTTTCAAAGAATATCGAGAGGGATACTATCCCACCTACTGTGCCGGATGGGCCATAATCATGTCTTCGGAAGTGGCCCGTCAGTTATATTACCAATCTTCTCTGGTTCCATACTTTTGGATAGACGACGTCCACGTGTCTGGCACGCTGGCCAAACGTCTAGGGTTGACTCACACAGACTTTTCAAACAAAATATATGCTGGCGAAGAAGATTTATTGAAATGGTTGGAAAGCGATGGGCTTTCTCGTCCCTACATGTTTGGGCAACCCATTTGCAACATCACTATTGTCTATCAGTTATGGAATAAGACCTTACAGTATTATGCATCAGTTGGATCTCATTCAATGGTTTAAACTTTTTGGCTTAAATTATTTTGTGTAAAGTGCCGTTAAATCTTTTTCTTAACTGTGATTGGGATGTCTGTTTCCATAAGCAGATCTATATATTATACAGTAGATCTACTAAATGAAAAAAACATTCCTTTCATTTATTTTTTACATTTACATTCCATTCATTTTTCTGTTAAACAAATTGGAGGTGAAAAGAGAGTATTTGGATATTGTACAACAATATAAATTAGCTATTCAGATTATAATTGACAGCTTTTGACACAGTAAAGTGGAATGCTTTTCAAACATAATTTAGTAGCATTTTTTAAACTGTCATTAGCTTATCCAAAAAGAATTAATTCTGACATTGGTTAAAGCTAAATTAAGAATTATATTTTTGTCATGGTGATAAATCATTTTGTTTTAAAAATGATTTGATAGTTTGAGTTTTTATTCAACACATTCCCATTGGTGATTGTAGTCATGGTGTGCTTCAGATTGCTCACAAAGAATATTTTCATACCAGTAGTTTCAAAACTTCCTATTTTTATGATTATAATAAGTATACGTGCCAAATTTACTTATTCTACATTTTTGTACTTCTCAAATTGATTTACTTACATTAATTATGCAGTAAGTAGACTGCAGTTTTTGTAAGTGCTTTATTTTAATGCATGTTATTTGCTAAATTTTTCATTTTGAAAGAGTGAGATATGGATTACAAAATCCAAAAATTTATTTTATTTTTTTTTCTGTGGGAGAATAGTTTTAAGATTTTTGGAATTTGAAAGACCAAATTTTATTAAAAAAATATAATATGGCTTCTACATATCCTCTCCCAAATGTGTAAATCCATTGCCAAAAAATATACAAATTTAACTTTTTAATGTTAGTGTTATCAAAATATGAAAAATTGTTATTTGATACAATAAATTTTCTAGTAGAAAATAGTATTTGCTGTTCGATACTTAATACTTGTTACAACTAATTCTTGTTCTTTGCATTATGAAAATTAAAGTTGTTATTAAAAGTTTTATTGTGTCCTTAATGAGAACAATACATAAATTGTATTTTTGTTTTTTATGCTTTCACAGATAGTTTAATTCCTGGATTAGCATCATTGTTTATAAATTATGTGAACTGATGTTTTACTTTAATAAATAAAAAATATGTGAAATAACACAAATAACTGAATGCTCAATAAAAATAATCTTACAAATTAAAAAACACTCTAACCTTATGTTTCTCCCTGCAGATTAATGAAAAATTCAAAAATAAACACCTAAAGTTTGTGTTTTTTAATTTGTAATTTATATTTTTGTCCTGTTTTATAGAAGATTGAAATATTTTAAAAAATCTTATCTTTAAATAATACACAATTAACAAATATGCATTGGAAATATATTAGTGGATTGACAAATTATTCAAACATTACAATATATATACATTACATTTTTGAAATTGATCTTAGTCCCAAGAATAATGAACAGTTCTATGGCTACTTGGTTGATTTGACATATTTGTAAAAACTGGCCAGTATAGCAAAAACTATCATGTCCAAAACCATCAGTCCGGCAAATAAGAAGAATTCATAAGACTGTAAGAAAAATTTTTTAAATTATTGATCAATCCTGTTACAAAAGTTTCAAATATAATAATCATGACAATTAAGTTTTTTAATCTAATAATTGCAAATGGAAAAAAAATCTATATCTAAAATTTTTTATGTACAAATCTGGGTTTGTATATTTCTACTTTCTGGCCTTTCAAAAATTTATCTGAAAACTTCACTATTTTATCTTATTTTTTATTTGATATATTTTACATCTTAATTTTAAAAAATGCACAATAAAATTGCATTTTTATTTTTAAAGCTAAATTGACTTCTTTATTTTAATATAGTAATAAGAGAAATTTCATTTGATCTGGAAGCTATTCTTTTAGAATGTAGTTGGTGTTTAACTAGAACATTCAAAAAATGTTCCTGACACAGAAAATAAAGATACAGATGGGAAATAAGGAATGCATTGTTGTTAAGAGCATTGATCCACATAGAAAGAATTGACGAACAATACAATGAGTTCCAAAAAAAATATAAATAAGTCATTAGTTTTTATTTTACTATTTTTTTTTTCCAGCCTATGTGATCAGCAACAAAAGTTGATTTGTCATTCATACAAATTAACTTTCTGAAATGATAAAGAAATCATTTTATTTTAAATCACAAACAGGTTGTCTACAATATCACAAACTTTTCAAGAGTAATTCTAATCACAAGATTATTACAAGATTTTAAAGGGGTTCTCAACCTTTTTGCGGCATGAGTGCATTTGAAATTGCAAAAAATAGTGGCGGGCACAAATTGGATTTAAAAAAAAATTAAATATTATATTCTCTATTATAACATGCATTTTCTAACATATTTATTATAAAAGTTAAATTAGTGCAATCTTTGACATTACATTTCATTTGCTAATTTCTCACAGTTGGGATTGTAAGATGATAATCCCAATCATAAGCAATCTTCAAGATTAGTAAGTTGAGATCTGATTTATGATTTTATAATATTCATGGTAAAAAATAAAGATTTGCACAAATACCTGGAACCAAAACAGGATTTGATTTTGAAGGCTCCTTTTTTTCAAAAGATTATACTTTTTATGATTAACTAAATTTCAAAAGTTTTCATTTGTATCGTGAGATTTTAATATGATGTCATTTTGAAAATCTAAAATCTCTTTTTCAATTATCGATGTTTCTTGAAATTCTACTATAGATTTAGGAGTTTCAGTAATGTCTACTTGTGTAGTAAAAGGATTTACGAAAAATGTAGCCACGGGTTCGATAATGGTAAATTGCTGGAATCTACTTTCAAATTGATCCAAAAGTTTATCAAGATGAGTAATAATGTTAGGTCCAAATTATCTTCACCAGTTACTTTTTTCATCAGTGTACAAGAGAATGTTTTGATATATTATTTATCCAAAACTGTATTTTGGCTCTGAATACTTTTATAGAGCTAATCATTTCAGCTAAATGTTTATTTTTCCCTGGAGATCCAGGATTAAACTGTCCAGCCAAGTCCATCAACCATTGTAGGTTATCAATTTGTTCAAATGTTTAACCTTTTAAAATAAAGAATTTTTTAAAATCTCTTTCAAAAGATCAAAAAATCGGCCAAGTGCTTTGCCTTTACTTACCATTTTATATCTGTATGTAAGATAAGATCAGCTTGGGAAAATTTGTCCGATTTTAGTTGATTAAATTTTTTTCTTAACTCGGATTTAGGCAGATAACTAATCTTAAAAGAACTGTGATTGATTGGTTTTGTAATGACATTCAACATTTGTGTTTTTTTTTCCACTGTCACAATATTGTTGCATATTAAGCAAATACATTTCTCTTCACTTTAGATAACAAAGTAATCTTCTTCACTTTAGATAACAAAGTAATTCTTCCCAATCTTTGTTAAAATGAGGGGTTTGTTGTGTTTTACTTGGATTACTCATTTTGGGGTAAAATGTTTATATACAAAAAAAAACAACACAATGATAGCATGTGATGACAACAGTACGAGTTTATGATGGCAGCACGTGGTGGCAACTAATACCATACTACTAATACAATAGAGCTGTTGGAGACATAATTATAATAGGCGTGAGGATTAGACAGTGGTCAGTGTAGCCAATTTATCAAATTTCCCATTACATACTTTTAGTTTTTAAAAATCTTGCTATAACTTTTTATTTTCTTTATTTTTAAGATTTAATTTTTTTTCATTATTTCAACACTTTGCTGCAGACACATGTTAATAGCTCCTCAGGCGCATGCACGAGGTTGGGAACCCCTGTCCTAGATAGTGTAGCTTCTTATTTTGGATTTGGTAATTTATCCTAGTAATTAAACAAAACTTCTAAACTCTACTTACTAAAAGTTAATTCAAAACACTTTAGTTTTTATATATTTTGTTTTATATAATTTCATTAAATATTGTAATAAATATAATAGTGTGGGTATTGGTTTTAAGATTAAATTCTTTAGTAATGGTTAATGTACATGTCATTCTACAATGTGGCTTCAGGATGGAAGATATTTCAAAAGTACTAGCATATTTTAGTGTATTTATTAAATATAATTTCATTAAAGTATTAACCTTAGTTGACATCCGCACTATATTGCAAAAATTTTATGAATAATGCTCATTAATTTAGTTGTTTCATTTATTTTTTCACTCTTCTTTTCAAAAACTTGAAGTGAGATCAGGTAGGAATTTATTCAGTATTTCTTTAATTATGTTATTTTCTCCAATGTATGACTGTTGAGAGCAATTACAATTCTACCTAAAGTACAGTCGACCCCCTACAACACAGGTTCCTATAGTTAGGATTCCTATATCACGGTGAAAAAATTGCGACAGTATTCGTACAAACATGCTAAAAAAACTTGTATAATTCGGTAAAATGTCATCGCCGACTCGTGTCGCGACAGGATTGGTCGAATCTAGACCAATAGCGGATATTGTACAAACCGTTGAGTTTAAATGAGCAGCAGACCTACTAAAAACCATTTATTATTTAACATCCATAAAAATTATATTTATATTAATGATGTCTCCAAAGTTCAGTGAATTTTTCGCAAAAATAAAATTTATCAGGAAGCACGCGAGCGCCATTCGATGACAAGCTCCTTGACGAAAACAAGCTTAAGCAATGGCATGGTTGAATGGTGCACGCTCGGTAAGTAATACTACAATTTTTTGTTTATAGCATAGTTTATATGGATTATTCCCAAAAAATTATACATATTTTGGAAATGTTGAGTTAAATTAGCCTAGAATCGATTAATTTTATGGAAGAAACCTTTCAAACAGCTGTAGTCCATAAACTGCATACGTGCTGGGCTGTGATTGGCTGGACTCGTAGAAAATGGATTCATAAAAACCAGAACATATCTACTATGTTATGGGGGGGTCAACTGTATAATTATTTTTTAAAATTATTATCTTGGTGAAGCTGCACTAAGAGAATTAATAGTTTGAACAACATAAAATCTTCTGTTCTACATTTATTAAACATAAACATTAACCACTCTGCAGTGATCAAATTTTTTTTGCAGATATAGAGAACATCTATATCTGCAAAAAAATTTTAGCCAACAATTATCACGAAAAAATTCACATATAAAAAGGAATTATGTGACAATAAAGAGAGATTTTTTTCTTTACTAGACATAACTGTTTAAAAAAATTTTTTCTGAAATTGAAACGAGACAAACTTGTGGGATAATTCTTAAAAAATTTCCCATGTTTATTCTCCACTACATCGTTATAGCTCCATATCTGACTAATCCTCTCTACAAAGGTTAAAAGTAGGCACAGTTTAGAGTTACAAATGTCAATACAACAAAAAATATCCAACTGAATGGCTCAAAGGTTCAACTCTAACTTCCCATCCTGTCCAAAATAGAACCTTAATAAAACAGAAACCAGCATAAATGGGAAAATTTTTCAAAACAATGATTTTCTGTGTTAAAAAAAATTGTTCAAAATGGAAACCTGCCAAACCAGAAAAAATATTCAGTACCATGCAAATCTGCTTTACATGGATTTTACTGTACTTGCTTACTTCCCTTTTTACAGTTGTTTGGACAAAATGGGCAGATAAGTGAGGGAGAATTACTCCTTACTTCTATGCCCATTTTGCTGTAATCATAAAAGTTTGACCAGATGTATAAATGGTTTATTCTAAATGAAAAGGTGACATGCTAACTTTTATACATATATAAAACGTTAAAAACATTTTTTTACTATTCCTCCTATTGGAGATACTGTTTCCTTCAACATTCAAATGAAACTTTAATCACTCTCCTCCAAAAGACAAAGAACTTGAACTGGCTGTTTGACTATCTGCCAGGCAACTTCACTAAACATAATATGTCATGACATCTCTTTACACACACTTTAATAATGTATATCTTTCAGCAGTGCGTCCTCCTGTTTTTCCACAGTGGATCAAACATGCAATTCATAGTTCTTAATAAAGCTCTTTTGTTATCATGCAGAAACATTATCAGCTCATGCACTTTAATCTGAATATACAGTAGTTATGTTGCTGATTCCACATTATTTCTAGTATCTCCTATAAATTCTTTATTTGACTTCACTGAAAATTGATCACCAGTTCACACTGATATTTCCTTTGAGTGATATATTCTCATAATTCTTTTGAATTTGTGGCCCACTTATGTAGATTAAACCAAGCCTTGGCCATTATTTCTTTTCCTTCTTCACATAGACATTTTTCCTCTGGTGGTTGGCACAGATTTTACAAGATTGTCCTCATAAATGGTAGAGATGTCACCATCCCTAGATATTTTGGTTGTATGCATTGGAAGTGGTATAACATTTGCTTCATCCTTTAAGTTTTAGATATTACAGTATTTTCATGTGTCCAGTTTCAGTGCAGCCAAATAAATCATGTTGCATCTCAATCTTCAATGAATATTTTTGCAGGAATGTCTTTTCCATATCTGCAGTTATGGAATATGAATGTGGTCGTTGGAAGAGAATATACTAGAAGATGCATCACTTGGATCTTC